GATAGGAATGCCAATGGCAACTGCTACGTATGGCTAGAGCACATCACCCCAAACCCTGATACCAGAGAAGTTTAAAATTCTTCACCTGGAGAATGCGTGCTTCCACTCCATACCTCTTAGGAGAATCATTGGAAACATTTGTTTTCAGCCAGCAAGACACCTTCACTTTCCTGCAGCGGGCCACTGCCAGCCCTGCAGCCCCTGGCTGTCTGTCATCTGGCCACATGTCCTGGTCCCTCACCCCATCCCACTACTGATGATCTCACACTGATTGGGCCTGGTGAGCAAAAAGAAGCCGCTGCTTAGACCCTTGGGAACATAAATCAGAGCAAACCTCAGGGGCCTGCCTTGCAGCACTCTGTCTACCAACAACGACGTCGCACGGGTAACCATTGTGAGGGTGGTGCAGAGCCAGGCAATGTTCCGTTCGGTATGAAAGGTCGCTACCAGTCAGAACCGACTTCATGGCACTGGTGGTCTGGGGCATGTTGGGGTGTCTGTTTCCTGTTGCAGGACAAGTTACAACATCGGGCCCTTCCACCCATTAAGAGGCACAAGCCTTAGTGAGCCCCTTGGGGTTTTGAAGGACATGGATGTCCTGTGTGCAACTTCAAACCACCTACGGAATGACTTGGAAACGTCACCAGAGCCAAAGAAGGCCCCACGGCAAGGACCGTCGCTATGCTGGGCTGAGATGAGCCAGCAGGTCCAATGGTGCTGGAAGTGTGTGCTGGTCTGAGGTGCTGCCTGGAACCCTTGCGAGGACCCTCTGAGTGAAGCGCAGGGCTGACCTTTAGCATCCTGGGAGAGAGCCTGCGTCACCTGCAGAGAACTCGTCTCCTTCTGAGAAACGACATCTGGCTCAGGAGACACTATGAGCCCTTGGCTTGCCAATGGACCATGAGACTGAGCTGCCATCGGGCCATGCAGTTGAGCGCACACAGCAGCATCGCGTCCGAAACTGGAAGAGGTGTACATCTGCTCAGCCCCACGGGCGAGGGGTGCAGAAGCCCACAACCTGTGTATCGGCCACCTCGCCGCCTGGTGAATCCCTCAACGACCAGCTGAAAGGTGGGTGCTTCACCCACTCTCCCAGCCCACCCTGAGAGATGCCTCCGGGGACGGGGCTGGCGATCTGCTTCCAATAGGTCACATGGCCTGGAAAGCCCCGTGGAGCTGCTCTGCTCTGCAGGTGTGGGGTGCCCGCCATGAATCAGAATGCACTCAGCAGCAACCAGCAAGAGTCCGGCTTGGTGGGCGCTTCCTTAGGAGGGAGAGCAGGCTCCGGCCCATCTCACAGAGGGCTCTTGGCATTCCTCAGTGTTCTCTGGGTCTATTCCTGAGGGCTTATTGTTCAGAAGTAATGAGTTTAGGATTCATTCTACCCTGGGCTGGCCTCGTTAAGGCAGAGAAAGAAAAGCCCTAGTTTCAAATAGGATGACATCCTCCTGGACCATCCCCACCCAACCCAGTTGTTGTCCAGTTGACTCGGACTCACAGCGCCCCCCCAAGGACAGAGTAGAACTGCCCCATCGGCCTTCCCAGACAGGTATCTTTCCCAGAAGCAGACAGCCTCACCTTCCTCCCACCGAGTGGGTGGAGGGTTCGAACCACTGACTTCCTAGCACCTAACCCACGGCCCCACCGGGCTCCTTCCACAGGCCCCAGGGCCAGGAGTTCCAGACATCGTTTTCAGGGGTCCCAATTCGGTCTGAACGCTGCCTGTGTGAGTTCATATGACCCCGCTGTTACTCCTACGGCTGGCTGTCTGTCCACCCGGGCCATCGAAGCCGTTTGGTGGCTCCTGGAGCTCATCATGTTCTTCTCCCAAGGGCTCCACGCCCAGGACTTATTTTTTTTTTATTTCTGCTAAAATTTTCTGAGGCATCGAACACTTGGTCACCCCAAACCTGTCTTCCATAAGCACTGGAGGATGGATCTGTTTCTCTCACCCGTCAGTTCAGTTCCAACTTCTGACAACCCAACAGGGGAGTGCAGAACTGCCAGTGGGCTTCAGCAGCTGTCCACCTTTATAGGAGCAGAGAGCCTCGTCTTTCTTCCGCAGAGTGGCTGGTGGGCTTGAACTGCCAACCTGCATCACCAGGGCTCCTGCATTGGTGTCTACAGGTGATGGTTTGGGGTCTGCTTAATCCCTCCCTGCAAAGGACTCCCAATGTCCCTTTTACTGAGATAATAAGCCAGGGCCACTGATGTTTTACATCATAGGTTCCACCCCATTCAGGAAAACAGAACTCGGTGCCCTCCGGATAATTAAAAGCTTTTCTACTATAGCTCAGAATCCAGGATAAAGTGTAGGTATCTGCTCTATCAGCCCCCCTGGATCCTGCCAGTGACCCCTGGGTGGAGACTGGTGCCGCCCACATTAGGAAACACTACTTTTCATCTAAAAGAAAACAGACTTCGGTTAGCCTCGAGTCCGTTCAGAAAGCCCATCCCTCAGCCTCTGTTTCTAGTGCTGGCTTCTCTATCGGTCAGGGTCCCCGGGCTGGGAAGCAGACCTGTTTGACATCGCATAGTTCCTTCCTGGTGGAGACAGGAATATGCCTCGTCAGATGTGGGAGCTGGTTTGGCACTCTGCGGGAGGCAGTGTCTTCATTGGCTGGTGTGACCCCCTGAAGTTAAAGGGGAAGGGAGTCTCAAGTGGGGAACAAGGGCAAACTAGGGTCCACAAGGGTAGCTTAGAACTCGTGTTGGTCCCACCACCTCCAGCCCCCAACTTCAACACTGGAGACTTTCAAAAATAGACCCCATTTACCATGTGGCTTGGAGCCCTGGTGGTGAAGTGGTAAGGAGTTAGGCTGTGATCCTCATGGTTGGCAGTTGGAAACCACCAGCCGCTCCCCGGAAGAAAGACTGGGCTTTCTACTCCCATAAACACTTACAGGCTCAGGAACCCACAAGGGGTTGCTATGAGTCAGCATTGACTCGATGGCAGTGAGTTTGGGATTTTTTTTTGGTTTGGGGCTTGTTGGGGTTTTTTGTTTGTTTGTTTGTTTGTTTGTTTGTTTGTTTGTTTGTTTGTTTGTTTTGATCATGTGGTTGTTTCTGGGATCTGGGTTTGAGTGTAAGGGAGCCAAAAGTCCTGAAGCCAGTGTGGGATAGTGGCAGAAGCCCAGGATTTGGAGCCAGGACCTGAGGTCCAGTCCTCCTCCTAATGCTGCTGAGCTAAGTGACTTTGGAAGCGTCTCTTCACCTCTCTGGGCCTCATTTTCCTGGAAACTAAATGCAATTCCCCACAATCCCAAAGTTCAGGTTCTAGCTGTTTCCACACTCAAACTCATGTCAGCCTATGCTGTGACTTTCTTAAGACTGCAAATTCCCTCACCCATAAATGCCTGTCCATACCTGCCAGGATGCTGTGGCTCAGAATGGGGTTGCCCAGTGAGAAGGGCCTGCCTGTATCCTTGCCCGGTGGCTTTTACCAGCAAGACACCACCACCACCCCACCACCTCTGCCAACAGCCCCTGAACGTAAAGGAAGGAGAATCCTGGGGTGGGGGCTCTTCTGGGTGACGCACAATATCACAACTGGAGAGAAGTGGCATCTAAGAGCGAGGCCTCCTATGTCCGCCACAGCCCCAGGTGGAATTCGATGTAGGAAATGGCTTCGATGAAGAGAATTTCGTGGTGAAACGGAGCAGCTCCTAGTGCATTTTCACTGTCCCATA